TTTGCGCTGGTACCTTATCATTTCCTTATACAATGAAGCAAGCTGGGGGTATGGGTGGGGAAAATTTGTAATCTGTACTTGCTTCTTTTCTGGCCAAATTTGTAGGTAATATTGTGTATTTTCTGTTTTTGATTCTTTTGATGTAAGTATCTTTAACTGATCAAGGGGAAGGTCCCCATCAATTTTGTCTGACATCAAGGCAACAACAGTTTCAAAGTATTTTTCCTTGTCACTTTCCCATATTCGCTCTTTACTTCCAGTATTTCTGCAAAAACAAAAATAAAGGCATCAGCTGGCATCTAGAATGCATGGCACTCCCTCTAAAGAAATATAAGAGCGTTTAGGTCACTACTTTAGTGATCTAAACGCTCTTATATATTTTTATGGAGGGAGTACAAAACAAATGAAATCATTAATGGATATGGACAATTGGACATACATATCAAACAAGTCAAGGAATGGAACGTTTCCTTCTGGTGTGGCACCCATTCCATTCAGCAAGAGGTAAGTACTTTCATCTTGTTTATTAACCTTTGCAATAACATATGTTCCCATGGCAGTTCTTCGCAGCATTGGTGAGCCAGGATCAGAGTACACATCTTCTGAAGATCTGTCAAATAAAATGCGCGGACTGACATCTTTCTTGTCTGGAGCAACCACCCATGTTCTTGTTTTCCGAGTTTTGTACCATGATTCATACACCAAAGCAAGAGATTCATCACACCAAGAGATTCCTCTGTACCAACAGAATGAAAGAAGAGAGAGAGTAAAGTGGGAATAATTAATTACTTGGCACACAAGATGAAAAAAAATGATAGGACGTTGTAAAAAGGATAGCTGATTTGGATTAGGACTTCCTGTGTACAATTTTATATGGATGATTATTTGAAATTTCCTGCTAGCAGTAATGCCCTATGTCAAAGCACAAAGCTTAACCATAACATCGTGCAGTGAAACAAAGATTTCCAGTCCTACTTGAGTAGACAAATAGAAGTTCAGAGAACATACCCATATCGGAGGTCAAGTTTATGTAGGATTTCTGGTTGTTCGCCATTTATGGGCTCAGCATTTTCCATGTAAACTATGTCACGTGGTGAAACTTCAACCTTTGCATCTCCACCATCTTGTGTCTCCACCCTAAGAAAAAGAAGGATAAACTAACCCAGTTAGAACAAGGAATAAGACATAAGCACACTGACATATTATATAAACTCCCTCCATATGACAAATAGGTGACGTTTTGGAGACTAACACGGTCTTCAAGATTGCCTTTGACCACTATTTTTTTTACTATATTATATGCACAAAACACAAGAAAATAATTATATTAAGAATATACTTGGTCTACGTATTCAGAACAATATTTGGTCAATTTTAAGTTTGACTTAAGACATGTCCAATACGCCACTTATTTGTGATATGGAGGAGTATTGACAAATAAAAGATGTTCTTGACCGTCCAAACTTGCACCATAGAGCAAAGCTTGTATACAGAAGATCTAATAGTTTGAATGATTTGCATGCATCAGGTATCCAGATTCTATTTTGAAGGTTCAAACGAAAAATTAATGTTTTGGGTGCTGTTCTGCGTACCAATACAAAGTTGAAGGTTTGTCTGGCCTCCAATAGATTGAACGTTTTCCCTTGCGCACGCTGCTCGTCGCAATTGGTATGTCCTCTGCAAGGGGCAAGTCACAAAGTTCCCTAATAAACTTACCATCTGCAGTCCATAATTCAACTCTCTTTGGAAACCTTCCACAGGGTACAATATAGGAATATGGACGGTGGATAGAAGAAAGCATCAAATATTTGTCATCTGGTGATGGATCAATGGATGTGTATACAGCAGGAGGCCCCATTGGCTTCACAGTTCCATCCAAAGAGACCAACATGAGCTGTGAGGTTGCATAGTAATCAAATAAATCAGCATCATATTCATCTTTCAGAAGATCCTGGAATGTTCTCACTTGGACCACATTCTTTGTCTCATTAGACTGAATTTTTGGACCAGATGGAACTGATGGCTTCTGTGGTAGAGCTCCACGTGATACAGGGATAGTGCAGACTAACAAAGTAGAGTTATCAACCCATACAAAGCTGCAAAATAGTAGAAACAATTATTTGGAAGTAGGAATAGTAAATAGGAGGCATGGAATTATGAAGTTTATTACCTGTCAAAAATAGCATTCAAGTATATATCAGGAGATTTAAAAAGTGGCCGTGCTTCTCCAGATTCCATGTCCGCAATCCATACCCTTAGCTTGCTGATTTTGTTGTCCTCCTGTTTGGATAAGAATCTGTTATAGCTAATCAATGAGACATAACAACTATCCCTATTTCAAAGCCAATCCAACCAATTACCTCTTCAACTCGAACACTGAATGATAGATTACGACCGTCATGTGACCTAATTCACATTATTCAATACATGAAGTCAAGATTGATGTAATCCATTACAAATAAGTACCCATAAAATGATAGAAGTTACTTTGATACAAAAATCTGGAAATTTACCAGGTAACAAAATTAATCTTTGCTCCTTCAGGGTATCCATGGACCTCCTTCTCTGGGCCCAAAGTTCCATCATCCATTAGCTTATGGATACCTATTCCAGTGTAGGAAGACCTACAAATTAGGTTAATCAGATTTCCAATGATGACATGCTGTAAAGCGTAATAATGAACTTGTTAAAAAGTGAAACAGACTAATACGACAGAAATTTTGGGGAAAGCATGAACAGTACATACATTCGACTTCTAGTATTAGAATGGCCATCAATCCTCACACCAGCAAGTTTCTCCTCAGGCTTTGCGAGATCAGATAGTGGTGGAAGCGCTCGACGTTTGAGAAATAGAATCTTGTCTTTGCTTGGTGAGAACGACAAAACAGGAAGTGGTGGTGCATCAACTATGTCCTGTATTTCTTTGGGGGGAAGGCGGTAGCCCAATGAAAGATCTGCATGATACGCAAATACGTTTACTGTTCACTGTAGCAATAGTCTGCATTATACTTTCTGACAGTTAAACCCAGGACAAGGGCAGCACAAACAGCACTTTATGCAGAGATCTTCACAGTTCACACAAAAATACAGTGCCATTCAAAGAAAGCATTTACACCCCACCCACCCATCCCTAAGAATCATGTTTGTGTATCAACACCAATAATTAGGCAATGCTCCAGAACCCATACATTTAGATTTTACTCCTAGAAGTAAAGCTACTAAATTCTTTCCTTGACAAGCAAAAGCAACACTATCATAAACCTGTTGAAACAGTTCTAGGGTTATATGCATTCCTCATGTAAGCAGAACAAGAGAACTTGAGACATCAAATCACATGCTCTCTAAAAGAGTCTCTTATACTCACTCCGTCCGGAAATACTTGTCATCAAAATGAATAAAAGAGAATGTATCTAGACTTATTTTAGTTTTAGATACATCCCTTTTTGTCCATTTTGATGACAAGTATTTTCGGACGGAGGAAGTACTAAGCTAAACACAACATGATAAGGAGCAAAGGTCAGGCTAATCCATCTAGTCTAGCTTTAACAGTCGTATGAGGAGCAAGCCGAATCATGATAACTGAAGTGAGCTAGAGAGGGCATGTGATGCGATCTTTACCAGAACAAGCCAGATTAATCTAAATTATACACTACCAACCCATAAAGAGCAATCCAGTATACATATCATAACTGAAGACAACTAGTACTAGTATGTTTTCCAGGAACCGATCCAAGGGCAGAGCTCCAATCTCTCCCCCGCCAAAGCAGCCCAATCCACTAAACGACGCGAAGTAACAATCGAAAACAGCCAAGTGTCCAAGAAGAAAAAGCAAGCAGCACCGACCGTCGTCTTCCTGGCCCAAGCCGGACGCAGCCGCCCCCGCCGCCGCCGGCTGATTGGACTCCCCGGAGGCTGCGGCGGCGGCGATGTGGGACATCCTGGAGGCGGCGGAGCTCATGGCGGCCCGGCGAGGCAGGCGGAGCGGCCGCGGAAGACTAGAGGAGCGAAGGGGAGCGCGCAGAGGCGGGAGCGGGAGCGGGAGCAGGGCGAGTCGGAGGCAAGCCCTGTGGAGGATGGAAAGGGCGGACATGATTTCTCGGCCTCCCGCCCTGCTTCTTCTATACAGATACAGTACACGTAGTAGATAGCATAGAATAGTGCAGGACGGATGGTGGGATACCTTTTCTTTCTTTGGTGGACAAAAAGATATTTTGGCCCCTTTTTGAAAAATGTTTCTCTTAATAATGAAATATGAAAAATGTTGAATTGATTTTTGTGCTTTGATAATTTGAGGATCCTGGCCTTTTTGTCGGTTTGATAATTTGAGAATCTGCTAGTACAATTTGGGTTGGATTTCGACACAAAACTCCAGTCGCTAACTGGAATCTGCCCCGAGTGTACAAATCATCCTCTTTAATCGGAATGGAGTCATGCTATCGACATATCACGAAACTTTTGTGGAAGTTTACGTGGCCATGTCGGGTTGCTTGCGGCATGAGCTGACCTAACGGCGACAGTGGACAAATGAATTTTGGCTCCGGGATTCCCGTTTCTAAATATAAGCCCTTCTTCTAGAGATTTCAATACGAAGTATGGAATGGAGGGAGTAGTAGAGATTGGTTAAAGAGTTGTGAAGCAAACTGAAAATCGATCGTGCAACAAGTAAAACATACAGTAGAAAGGAGCTCATTCTGAAGATATTCTTGCTAAATGAAGGGGCATCTGCCCAACTATGTTAAATTAAATTATAAACGAACTGACAGACACATATACAGCAAATTCACTCTAGAGACCTGTTTCCCCAAGTATGCTAGTACAAGATACTCCCAGATGTGTTCTTTGTTGATGTTCAGCATGCAAACGTTTCTATTATACACAATCGCCATACAAGAATCACTTCCCCATCTAGACATGCAAAAAACAAGTTCAGTATAAGTGGTGCTTGCTTGCTGGCCTGCTGCCATCCCAGTGTAAGTCGGCTGATATCCAAGCTTCAAGTTTCAAAACAGGCTGAAACCCCCCGATTCCTCCTCCTGCGCCTCTTCTGGCGTCTCACTGTATGTTGGCTCATAAACTTCGCCACTTCTGTAGTTATCTGCATACTCTGAGCCCTCTTCTGAGTCATAATAAGATGATGATCGGTACTCCTCTGGACGGACAAACTCAAGCATGTAGTTCAACCCGTTGATGACATCGTAAACCATCAGTCCGATTCTTCCCCCAACCCAGCTGCCTAGCTGGCTTCCAACGAGATAGCCAAGCTTTCCCAGCCTCTCCTCGCCATGGAAACCACCCGCATAGGTTCCGAATAAGGTGCCCGTGCCCCGTAGAAATCCTTCAGTCATGCTTCCGCCAAAGTACATTGCCTCGAAGAAGTCCCAGCCAGAGGAAATTATCGGTCCCAATATCCTCTTCGCTTGACGAGCGGCCACCTTCGTCGCTTTTGCCCCGACCTTCTGAGCTTGCTTGGCTGCCTCAGCGGGACTCAGGCCTTCTATCACAGCATCAGCCAACGCTTTCTCGATGGCTCGCTGCCGCACGTTTTCCATGTGTGCGCTTCGGAGGTTGTTCACATACAGCTTCACCCCCTCCTTCCCCGCGCATGCAAGGCTGCCTGACCCCATATCAAAACAGTTCATGAGTGTGAACTCCCCACTCTTTGATGCAGCCTCCTTTCCGACAAGTTCCCTGCACTTCTCAGCTGCAGATTGCAAATTTTGATAAAGGTTAATTTACAAAGACATACATCCGGTTTACTTCTCCAAAATGAAATCATCAAATACTATCTAGGAGAAAATTTGGATGTCAAGAGCAATATCAATTCAATAGCATACCAAGTTAAACTATCAATGTGCCTTATTATATTCTTACAATGTCGCCATTTTCTACAATATCATGGCTTACCAATATGTCAACATAGCAACAGGGCAAGAGCTATCATTCCAAAAGAATGTAAGACTCATAGATCCAGTGATTGAAGGTTTAGTATGGAGATCTTTTATTTGTTAATTCTGAGAGGAACACATCAGCATGAGAACATAGCAAAAACGCTAGTAACCACACAAGATATATCAGCAGGAAAACTAGATGTCCACACTACATGATCCTCCAAATACCTGATACAATCCTTAGCTGCAAGTAAATGCACTACTTGTTACACTATCATGGGATGAAACCAAATCAACATCACAGTTACCGAATGGAAGCAAAAAAAAACTGCTACGATCCTGAGCTCCTTCACCAGCGCACAATTCTCCGACAGTTACAGAGCATTGCAAGTCACAGCATTTTTTAGCATAAGGGAATCAGTCTCCAGGGTGACTCTATCCATCCCAGCAAACTTACATGATGAATTGCATGCATGGCTTCGCCACCAATGCACTCCAAACATTTGCCAAGCCCCCTTAAACAGTATGCAGAAAAACTTGAGAAAGGAAAAACATGTGGGTAAATTGTGCATGTGCACTCATGGTATCGGACAGAATCACTGTTTCAGTTAAATACAATGATATAACTGACAAAAAAATTGCTACTCCAAGTTCTTCCGCATTCAAGCCCGAGACAGACAGACTGTTTGTGTTGCTGGGTTCATACATATAATGTGTTTTCATGAATGAGTCAATCAGTATGAATTATCATGCTAGACAGTGTTCAGTTGTCCTTATTTTTGTTCAGTTTAACCTTCTGAGGAGAGGCTAATCACCATCTTATAAGCAATTAAATAATCCTTAACAAGTCAGTACTGACTTCACTTCACGCGAAATCTGTGGCTTTCTGAATTAAGGCACTCATTCCTTCCTTGTGTCCACTACAAATTCCACCGCACACATGAACCCAGACCTACGAAGTATACGTCCAATTGACCGAGTCATTCGCTCTTCGTAGCCATTACCGTCGTCTAGAAACCCAAGATCAGAAGCATCCCACTCGAAACCAGCCAAATGCGCACCCACTTCTTCACTAGGAAACAGCCCCCACCACCCAAAATCGCCGAATCAAAGGCCGGAAGGCGCCATAAACTACACGTGCAAGCGCGCGCAGCGATCCGCCGCTCTACGAAGAAGTATTTGCCTGCTCGCTCGACGAACTGGTTAACATAATTGAAAAAAAACGGAGGGCGGATCGGGGAGCATGCCTGTCATGCTGAGGGCGAGCACGCCGGCGACGAAGAGCAGAAGCTGGACGCGCCGCTTCTGGATGTCGAGCATCTTCGCGGCCGCCCACGCTCGGCTCGGGCGCGCAGCAGACCAAGGATCTCTCCTCTCGTGGGAGGAGGAGGAGGAAGTGGGGAAGAAACGAATAATAACGAGAGAAAGGAATGGCAGGTTCCTTGGGAAGAAAAGAGAGAAAAAAGAACGGCCGCAGGGGTTCCATTCGCCGCTGCCGCGTGGCGATACGCGTTACCCCGAAGGAGGGGACACGGCGTTGGGTGGGTCCTCACGCCATGGGCTCAGTCGCCCGACTTGTTTGAATGGAATTCACAAAACTCTAGGTAGGTCATCTAGAGCTGCCTCAATGAATTTGAATTGACCGGAGTAGCAAAAATTTTATTTTGAGCTCATATTTCAGAAGCCACTGTTTCAAAGACTTCTTTAAAATAAGATGATAGCAAAGTATTGAAATCTTTTATCTCCATCTAAACTTTTTGACACTACTCACTTTTTTTTTTGGTTTGTCACCGGCAAGTGGGTGTAGTATTAGATTAAACTAGTCCAAGTATTAGAGCATGGCCAATGCATAGTCTCATGGTGATGCCCCACGTGTCATGTAGGATCGGCTGTCAAGGAAAGTAGGTTTGGATAGGGAAGCGGAATCCGCCGCACGAGGCAGGTGCTTGGGGGAAAAAAGTGTGATCGGATGTAAAAAGCTGAAAAGGTTGAAATGAAGAGTAGAGATGCATCGTATATACTATATCACGAAGCTCCCTAGAATTGGAGGCCTCACAATTAATTAAAGTCTCCAATTGAAATTTGGCCACCCAATTTTGACTTGGTCAACAATTTCTCAAAACTCTCTCATTTAATTTTTTTGTACAATACACTGGGCTTTCTAATTTTTAATCTTCACAGTTAATTAAGACTACAATTTAGAATTGAGTCACCTGATTTTGACTAGGTCAACAATTTCTCAAGGGGGTCTCCCATCTAATTATTTTTAATTCATTATGTTCCCTTATTTTAAAGCTCTTTCATTTGATTGAGGTATTCAATTTTGGATTTGTTTTACTGTTTTGATCAGACCAAAGATTTTTCAAATCAATCAGCAACAACCGGCCTATAAAAACATATCAATCCCTTGTAGACTCCCATCACCTAGAAAAATACACCACCATGTGATACTATAGCACGAATACAATACATGCAACCACTGATGAAAAAATATCCCCACATAAATATGGGTTGATTAGCGGATAGCACAGAATCACACCGCGAATTCCTACCAAATAACCGCATTATATATAAACATAAAACACGCTTCATCGCCTTCCCCCACCGGCCAAACTAAATGTTTCATTAGTTTCAAAATATATGGATTGTTAGTTCTTTGGAAAGTCAAATTTCTTTAACTCCCCGTGAGCTAGGTCTCCTCCCACCCTCCCCCTGCCGCTGCCGGCCTTCCTAGGCCCCTGCCGCCGCCGGCCGCCGGCCACCCCCGCCCCCTTCCCTCCCCCCTCCCTCCTCCCGGATCCGCCCCATGTCGCCTCCCTGGGAGGTGGCCGAGGCGGCGTGAGCTCCTCCACCTTCG